CGACCACCATTATTACTCCAGCCCTAGAGGCTTGAAGAGACGATGTACTGGAATGCGGCAGAGACTACACAGGAGTATGGCAAGGTCAAAACTTCAGAAGCAAGTTATTAAGCGCCTGCGGAAAAAAGTGACTTCTTTAACTGAAATAGTAAGAGAATTAAGACGTACACGAGCTATTTCTGAGCGTGGACTTGCATGCTTAGAATCTATAGCAGAAAGTGATGTTTCGCAACTAATGAAACGGTTTTTAAAAAATCATAATACTATTGAGACGAAGTCCAAAAAAAATAAGAGTAAACAGGGTAAACAAGCAAATACGATTTCTAGAGATAAATATCCGCCCGCGTTACGTTCCTTTGCGTGTACTTTACATTTTTATTCTCCAAAAGCCTATGCTTTTGTGAGAAGAAAGTTTTGCAATGCTCTTCCTCGTCCCAGAACCTTAAAAGATTGGTACTCTTCTGAATGGAGAACCAGGATTTACATCCAAAAGCTTCGATGCTTTACGGCGAAAAGTATCGGAAGCTGACAAGAAAGGTCAAGAAGTTGTAGTGAGCCTAATGATTGACGGAATGTCAATCAAAAAAGGTCTACAATATCTGCCAAATGGCAAGGTCCGCGGATACGTAGATTTAGGGACGGAAATAGATGATAGTGATACTATGAAATTAGCTAAAGAAGCAGTTGTTCTTATGGTTGTAGCAGTAGACAATAGTTGGAAGCTTCCCATAGGATATGTTGTAGTTGATGGCATGGACTCCGCTACTACTTCAGGGCTGATTTCAAACGCATTGAGTTTATTGCATAATGTGAAGGTTAAAGTAATTTCCTTAACTTTAGATGGCACTGCTGAACATTTCGCCGCGATGAAATTACTGGGAGCTACATTCGACATGCCAAACCCGAAACCCTTCTTTCCTCACCCTTCTACCAAAGAAAAAGTCTTTGTTATTTTCGATGCATGTCACATGCTTAAATTGTTTCGAAATTGCTTAGGGCAACTAAAAATGTTAAAAGACAGCGAAGGAAATTTAATTGAGTGGCGTTTTATTGAAAACCTCGTTAATTTACAGGAACAAGAAGGACTTAGAGCAGGCAATAAACTTAAAAGGGCTCACGTAGATTTTCATAAAATGAAAATGAAAGTTATGCTTGCCGCTCAGACTCTGAACAGCAGCACAGCTAATTCCATCGAATTCTGCGATAAATATTTGCAGTTAAGCAATTTTCGTGGTAGTTCAGCAGCAGTTAGATTTATCCATTGTATAGATAGAATTTTTGATTTTTTAAACTCAAGAAATCCTTTAGGTAAAGGGTTTAAAGCTCCATTGCGTAGGTCGAATGAAGTTTTTTGGCGGGAAAGTATTTTAGAAGAAATTGATTATTTAAAAAAAATAACGGACGTTGCAGGTGTGCCAATTTACAAAACTAGACGTTACGTTCCATTTGTTGGTTTTATAACTGCAGTAATGTCAGTAATAAACATATTTGATTTATATGTAAAGCCAGAGACTTCTCAACTCAAATATTTACTTACTTATAAACTAAGTCAAGATCACTTGGAACTGTTTTTTTCCGCAATTAGGCAATGCGGCGGTTGGTGCACAAGTCCAACTTGTACCCAATTCGTTGTTGTGTATAAACGTCTTCTTGTGCACCACGAAGTAGTTTCTACTAATGGTAATGTTGAAGCGATGGATTCAACGACCATTTTGACAGTTCCAAGTACAAATTCAAAATTAAAAAGGGTTGATTATTATGATTCATCTTTGTATGACGAAATTAGTAATTTAAGAGTAGAAAAGAAATATGGTCTTGGCGAAGTAGAATATTGCACCGAAAGTAATAATTTCTATAAGGAATTTTCTATAACCGCTGTTGCTCTACCAGATCCGCTTTCTCCATTTTCCAAAAATTGCGTTTCTTACATTGCTGGTTGGGTTGTTCGAAAAATCTTAAATGACCAGAAAACATATTTGAGAGTTCGATGCCTTCCGTGTCGCGAAGCTCTTGTACATTCTCGACAAAGAGAAGCTGAATTCGAGGAACATTGTTTAATTGAAGCAAAAAGTAACGGAGGACTAACTTATCCCAGCGAATCAGTGACTATAATTTGTCAACGAACTGAGCAGTTTTTTAAGTATTCCCTTCTTAAAATTAATAATATGGTTCCAAAAGAGCAAAATTTTCCTGCTATCCTGTGTTCGAAAGTTCTTAATGACCTTTTTCAGTCTGGGACTAATTTATTTCCTTTTTTGACAAACCATTTGTTTGACGATGCACCGGAAGAGGGAAATCACATTTACACATTATCAAAAAAAATTTGTCAAACTTATATAAAATTGCGCATGTTTTCAGCTACGAAGTCAGTTTCTGAAAAAAAAATTGGCCAAAAAATTCGCCATTACTTGAATCGGCAAATTATTTGGCAGAATCAGTAGTATTTAGTAGTATTTAGGAAGTTTATTTCTATGCTATTGGCATTTGGTTTCTTTTTATATAGTAGGTTTATAGGTATTTTTTAAAATGTTATTTATTTCTAATGCAGAAAAATGTTTATTTTAAAAAATTTTCTATATTTTTTCAATGTTAATAATACTTGTTGCGTTTGTTTTAAATGTTTATATATTATGCTTGTGTTTTTAATTTTATGATTTGTACTGTGAAAGAAATTTTATAGTGCCTTTTTGTAATATGCCCTACGCTACATGAGACTTTCTTTTTCTTTATTATCCTCACATATATCCATGTAATATATCATATATATATTATCCATGTGTTGTATTTATTGTAGTTGTAAATTTGATTCTGTAACTTTCAGATGAAATCATTTTCCATCGTACAAAATTCATTATATATATTCATTCATTCATTTCATGTTTTATATTAGCCACAACTTTAATATTTTTCTTCAGTTACTCTATTATGAATTGCTACAGTTTACATATTTATAATTTGTATGCGTATTTTTTGGAGTTTTATATTCTCCGTTGTAAAAAATTCATTCCATATAATAATTCATTTCATTTTTTACTATAGTTAATATCATGTTTGAATTTTTAAGTTTCTGTACTTGGTATTTGGTTTTATTTTACAAAAATATTTGTATGCATGAATTTCGGATTTTCCTTTATTTTGCTTAAAAATTTTATTGTATATACTCATTCAATTTATGCTTTACGATAATCAAAACTGTTAGTATTTTTAAGTTAATGTACTTCGAGTTGCATTGGTTTTGTAAGTTTATTTAAATGGGTATGTATTGGACTTTTATATTTTTTAGTACAGAAATCATCAGTTTCTTTGTGTGCCTTTTCTCTGCTTTTCCTTTCAGTTACATACCTCATATTACTCATAATTTCTTAAATATGTATATTTTATTTAAACTTTGCTTTTCACATGAATATTGATTTCTTTTTATTGCTTAAATATACATATTTCATAAATGCTTACTTTATTTTCATTATTTGTAAACTACTTTCAGTCACAAACGTTTTTCTTTAATTTTGCAGCTATTTCAGATCGCTCCTGATGTCAAACTAACTATTAAAGATTAAAAATAATCTTGTAGATGAACTATTAAAATTAAATGTGTATATTTATAAATAATAATTATAATATTATTATTATAAATATGCAGGAATAAATTTTTCTAATCTTCGCATGTGGAGTTTCAAATTGTATATTACAAATACATGCCGAATTCATCAGCCAAGGATTCTCTGAAAATTTCATGGTTGAAATTTTTAGATTGGAGATAAAGGTTAATTTACCATTCAAGAAATTGTAAATATAATATATTCTTTTTTAATGATTGAATGAATACAAATAAATGATCATAATATTTTAGCACATTGTATTATTTCCTTATGTTTTGTTTGATTTAATAAATGACGGCTTATGAATCTATAGATTAAATAATATGCTTCTTTAATTTCAGAGAATGCAAATAAATTGCATTCAAAATTAATAATCTCTATACTTATTTAAAACAGATACAAAAAATAAAAAATCCTAATTTTTGTCATAAAAATTAAATAAATATTTTATTAAAGTTATTATCTTATTTATTTCAATTGATTTATTTATTAAATTTAATTCAATAATTTCTTAAAGCTACATAAAATTATTTAATAATTACTTGATTTGTTTAAAGGACAAAATTATTTATTATTATCTTTAAATTTTAATATTCACGAGTGTAAATTTTATTACATTTTTGAATACTCCCGCCTTTTTTAGCCAAGCTCTACTCAAAACATGGCGCTTCCGGTCTTCTAATCGAAGCATCGCTGGCGACGTGATCGCCCATCCAGTTATATATAGAGATCAGTGGGACCTACTGCTCATGGCTGTCAATTTTTAAATATATAATTAGGCAGTGCTGTGTAACGTAAAAAGTTGAATATCGAGAATCGGGTAAACGTATTGAAGCTCGGTACGTTGAATCCGTTATTTGAATTTTAACGTATTCGAGTAATATGTCGAATCCGTTGTCTGTAAGAAGTCCACTATGTTTAATTAAAAATAGAGTTAAAATAAATGAAAAATGTTTTAATTACAATAAAAATTGTCGTCTGTGCATAAAAAGGTTACAAAATTGTAGTAATGTTAGAAACATGAAGAAAGCAAATTCATTTTGAATTAGTACCAACAATTTGTGTTTCAATAAATTGTTATAGGTACAGAGTTGTAAACGTAAAAGTAGAATTTAAGAATATAATATAATAAATTTTTGTTTCTTAGAGATCGTATATATTCTTGGACTTCTTCATTTATTCTCTAAGATTTTTCAATTCGTCTCTTTGGTTCTGTCTTTCTTCCACATCTTCTTCTAATCGTTTTTTTACAATCGTTGCGCCATTATTTACTACATCAGTAAAGTAATGTTTAATTTTTTATATTTTTAACAAATATTTAAACTTTTATTTGATGTTGCATACTTATTATTCAACTGTAGAACTCATTAACGTAAACTGTTTCTCTTTAATATTATTCAGGATGGAGAATATAGAGCAGCTAGAGTAACAAAAGAAATTGTTGTCAGCGCTGGAGCTGTTAATTCACCACAAATTTTGTTGCTATCAGGAATAGGGCCTGCCGAGCATTTAAAGTCAGTAAATGTTCAGTTAGTAAAAGATCTTCCTGGTGTTGGTGAAAATCTTCATAATCATGTATCTTACACAATATCATGGAGCATTAATCAACGTGATGAGTATTACTTAAACTGGGCTGCTGTTACTGAATACGTATCAGATCAAAAGGGAATAATGAGTTCCACGGGTTTGGCACAAATTACGGGTATTGTTCCTTCAAGGTATACTACTAATGATCATCCAGATATCCAATTTTTCTTTGGAGGATATCAAGCTTCTTGTGCTGCTAGTGGTGAAGTTGGATCACTCATGAGTAATGACCTACGTAGAATAAGCGCTTCACCAACTCATTTACAGCCTCGCAGCAGAGGTAATTTTATAACTTTTAGTATTCATGACAAATTAAAATCTTAATCATTTTTCAAAAATGTATCTGTAATTCCAGGAAGACTTCGATTAGCGAGTAATAACCCATTTGTACATCCAATAATTACCGCAAACTATTTGCAAGATCCACAAGATCGAGCAATTATGGTAGAAGGAATACTTAAAGTAATGTCTCTTTCGCAAACTAATGCTTTAAGAAAATACAACCTGCAACTTGTAAACCGACCAATTCGAGCATGTTCAATGTATGCATTTCTTACTCCTGAATATTGGGACTGTGCTATTCGTCAAGATACAGGTCCTGAAAATCATCAAGCTGGATCATGTAAAATGGGACCACCATCTGATCCACAGGCTGTAGTAGATCCTGAATTAAAGGTTTATGGAATTAAAGGGTTAAGAATAGCAGATGCTTCTATAATGCCTCAGGTATTACAAAATATATTATATGTTTATCTATATTCTTTTGGAAAATAGATGTAGGGTAATGTCACCTTGAGTGGACCGCCTAAGCTTTTTTTCTAAAAAATTCTTTATGAAAGCAAATTAGTCGCAGGTTTCTATTCCAAGCTTTAGGTTAGATCATCAGACAAGTATTTATACCATAATAGCTTTGGTTTTTTTTTATTTGGAAGAAAAAATTGACTTTAAAAAAAGCTAATTTTTAATCCATAAAAATGGTAAACTGACATTAAAAATATAAAAAACAGGCAGTCCACTCATGGTGACATGCAACTTTTTATGGCAGCCACCACAATTTTTTTGAGTCAAAATAATTACTCAATTAAACTAAGACAATCAATTTCAATGTTCAAAGTAGTAGAAAAAAATAAGTTACCTTTTAAAACTTAAATTTTACACTACTTTTACACTTCCGAATCACTTTACTCATTGTAAGAGCGACTTCCTTTTTGGTTTGTATTCTTAAAAATTCGTTACATCAAACGATAACGTATATGATTATCGCGGAACTTAATTTCTTACGGTTTCTAGGTGCAGTGCTGCTATTCGCACTATTTATTTAACGTTTCCGCTGTCAGATAACTTAAAAGCGCAGGCGGTCCACTTAAGGTGACATAACCCTACTAACTTTTAAAAACTGAACGTTTTTAGTTCAAAAATTAGATGACAATTTTTTCATAAAGTAAAAACATTTATGTATTAAAAACGATTATGATCAGTGAAGATATTTTCAGTTTTATTTATGTAAGTATTTCTATGCAACGCTTCGCTCGTGCCATGCCTCGTTCTTCAATATTGTGCAATATTGTTCAATCAATCACTGTTGAATTGAAGAAAATATATATATAAATGAGAAATTTTCAATTTAAAAACTTTTCAACATAACCAAACTTATTCGTAATTTTATTGTTTTCTTACTAAAAAATTATTAATTTTTTTAAATTTCTCAGTTATGATAATTTTTAACTTCAACCAAAACTTCTTAAATCTATAAACATTGTTATACATAAATAAATTATTACAATTTTAGTACTTAAAAATTAACTTTAGTAGTTAAAGGAGAAATATAATTTGTTTGAACTTATCAAAATAACATATCTATGAATTTATTGCTCTCGAATTGTTATACAACCTGAGCGCTCTTTGACATACCTTCTAAGATAGAACCCCAGCTGAAAGAAATCGTTTGGATTTTCCCATAGACTTTTCAGGTAGAAATTCATATGGAGATTTGAAACTATCCACATGAAATCCGCGTGGATTGCCATGTGGATTTCCGCATGGATTTTTTTATATTTTTAATAAACACAAAATATGAACGAAACCCTCTTTAAAAATGCAAAAAGTAGTGAGTGAGATCTCTTTGGGGTCACAGAATTCGAATTTGATGTTTATTTCTGAAAATATTTAAAAATTAAAAAAATAAAAAATTTCCATGTGAACTATTTCAAATCTTAGCATGAATTTCTGCGTAAATTTCCATGTGGAAAATTCAGACGGACTTTTTCAGTTAGAACAATTGTCTTCTTATTAGGTGATTTTCTTTCAAAGGTACCGTAAGTGAGGCTAAATTCGTTCAATTTTTCAATTCTTTTTTAAATAACTTCGGGAAACGATGAAAATAAACATTGGCACTGAAAATATATAATCTTTAACCCTTTATCTTTCCTATTACTGCATAAAGAAATTGAAATATGTTGCAGAAAATTATTTATAAGCCGTTTTTTTGTGAGCGAATTTACCTTTAAATGATGGGTAAATTCGCTCACCATTATTATTCTGGCAAAATATATTATAATCTGCAAAAATGAAACTAAATATTTTTTAGAATCAATAAAGAAAAAAATTAAGAACAATATTCAAAGTTATTGGAATAAATATTTAATATTGTTTTATCAATAAGTAATTAGATTCAATCATTCAATCAAACGTACTCATAACCATAAAAAAACAAGGTTAAGTTTGACAGTTTAGTGCTTAAACCGTTTTAAATCGTTTAATTTTCAGTTATAAGAGTACTATTATTTCAAAAAATCGAATTATAAATTAAAGTAATTAACATACTTAAAATATCCAGGCCCAAACATCTTTTTTGTAGACTTATTTCCTGAGCGAATTTACACAACAAATTTGAATTTTTTTTTTAATTGATTTTTTGCAGAATCTGTTTATTGCTTTAATTTTTGTGCTTTATGAATATCATGTTGGAGATACAGGAAATGTAATGTTCAGAAGTATTCAACTTAAAAATTTTGAAGTAAAGCTTTATTTCCTACTTTTTCATACTACTTGTTCAATATGAAAATTATTCACTTGTGTTTTAAATATAATTTCTACTGAAAGTTACCAATGAATTTGCTGCAAATAAATTTTAAATTAAAGTTTACCATTTATATTAACCAAAACAATTGTAAATCTTAAATATTTCTGTCTAAAAAGTATGTTAATCGAATTTTAAAAAATAGACATCGGTTGAGCGAATTTACCCTACATGAGCGAATTTAGCCTCACTTACGGTAATTAAAAGGTAAAAATCGAGTTTTTTTACAATCTTATTCTGGAAATCATCTAAAGCTATTAAAATATGTAAAGGTAAGAGAAAGTGTGAAAAATTATGTATAGCGAAAAGCAAAAAGTATAATATGTATGGGTGATTAAATTTAAAATGTCATTTTTGATCCTACTAACTTTGATTTTTCGATGTTGGATTTTGAACTTAACGATACTCTATTTTGGTTGACTAGAATATATAATAGACAAAAATAATAGTGGTCGAGCAGGTGGAAGCAAATTTTAATTTTCACCAGGTGAAAAACGATAGGCAGAAATGATAAGAAATTTTCTGTTTTCGTTTATTCTTTTCTCAAATAAATTCTTACAACTTTAAAAAGTTAAAATATTTCAAATTACAATAATGAATGTTTCAACATGACTTAAAAAATATTTGCAATGAGTTCTGCCATAAATTAATATACTTTTGAAGACCAAAAAGACATATGAACATTGAGGGACACCACTGACATTTTTGAAAGATTTCACTAATAATTTTTTTTGAATAGTGAGAGTAAAATCAGCTTATAAATTACAATCCAGTATCAAATCTTCATTAACTGCATATAAGGAGTAAATTTAACACAAATTTATTAAAAATAAAATAATAAGCTGCAAGAAACAGAATTGTTAGGGAACACCACTGACAAGGGACACCACTTACATTTTGCTTCATTTCTCATTTTCGAAAAAGAAAGACTTTATTTTTAAGTTAAAGTCGTTGCGATTTTTAAAGTACGTGTAATAACTGAAAATGAGATACAATAATATTTAAAAAATATTAATATTATGAACAATTTTTTGATGGGGACACCACTGACATGGTGTGCTCGACAAAGTGTTACTTGCTTTCTGCCACCAACCGTACGAGTTATAAATGTGATAGAATGTTGTAATGTTTTTTCTTTAAGAAGCTATACATATTAGGCCTGTGCTGTTTACCGGTTAACTGGTTATAAAACCGGTTAACCGGTTATAAAATTTTTGAGCAAACGGTTAACCTTTTTCGGTTATTTTGAAATAACCGGTTATTTAGGAATAACCGGTTATTTTGGAATAACCGGTTATTTTAGAATAACCGATTGTTTATTCATTTTCTATTTTCAAAATATATGTCATATATATATATATATTTTAAAATATATGTCAGTAAACCAAAAAAGAGTGAATTTGAATAAAAAATGAGAAAATGGCGGCGGTTTAAATTTTTTTACCCCTTTTCCACCCCTAAAACGGTAAGAAAATGGGGTTAAAAATGGATGTAGAATGTTGGTTGTGGTTCAGGCCATAGCCACTGATATATATATTTTAAGAAATTCTTTTGATTTTTTCTTTCCGACATTTTGAAGCAGAGATAACGTGTCAACCAGTTTTTTCCGGACAATCACTTTAGCCGCCATTTTGTCGCCATGAAGGTCAGAATAAATGAAAAAATATTTTTTTATTAATCCTCAATATGTGTGGTTATATGTGTGAAAAGAGCCCAGTGTTTTGATACATTTTACTATGAAAAAATAAATGTTGAAAAAACACGCAAAAGTGTTGTATGGTCCCCTTAAAGAAAAATTCATTTTTGAAAAATTACATTAAAGAATCTAAGAAACTATTAAAATATTTAAATTTAGATTTAAAAATTTTGCCTTCCGTTTTGCAAATTAGATGTTTAAGAAACAATTTTATCTACACAAATAAAAATAATGCTTCTCTTTCCCTATAATTTCAAAATAATCGGAAAACCGTTTAACTCGTTACTTCAAAAAACCGAAAAAACGGTTAACCGGATATTCTAAAATAACCGAATAAACAGTTAATTGGTTATTTCATAATAACCGAATAACTGGTTAATCGGTTATATGGTTAAAACCGGTTATAACCGAATAACCGGTTATTTATCTGTAACCGGGTTTATAACCGGTTATTTCAATAACCGGAAACCGGTTACAGAATTCAATAACCGCACAGGCCTAAATTACATATCACTAATACTTTTAACGCTTGATAAGGCAATTATCTGCACTAGGTTATTTAAATATCAGGCATGATATTCAAAATTTGCGATAATTACTTAAAAATATGAAACTTACGGACAGGCGATTTTGATTTTTTTCTAGCAGTGGATCAAAATTATTCTGCTAGCACGATTACTATATAAAAATATAGACTCTTAGCTGTACAAAATAATTTTTCTGGTACTAAAAATGTGAGAATCAACAATTTTTATTATTAGGTAAAGTTCTGATTTCTTAAGTGCGGACAACGGACACCACTGACATTTTGCTTCTAATTCTTCTGCCAAATTTTTTCAGAGAATTTCTAGCGACTAAGAATTATTAATTTAAGTAGAAGAAGTGATTAAGAAAATTAATTGACTTCAAAAACTTTTATATATAAACTAGTATTCCAGATTTTTGGGCAGG